CATACAAAGGCCGGAGTCTTTCCCGGAGCTTTCAGCTAAGAGTGCGCACAGAGCACACGGACTGGAAGCCTAGAGAAGCCCACAGAAATGCGCCTGCAGCTCCATCAGGAACCCACTCCTGGGCGTGTGACCATGGCTGTGAGCTGGGGTGGAAGGGTTTGCCGCGGGCTGCAGTGGGATGGGGATGGGAATGACGGATGCCAGTTTTACGTTAACAGGGAGATACTGGGTGGCAAGGGATTAAATGGGTAAGGATGTGGGCTTCATCAACTCGCCACCTTTGACCTGGGCTTCTTAGCCATATGGCTGGCTTCTGTACCCAATGGGCACCACGATGTCCATACATTCCTACACGTCCCACTGCCGGGCCTTTCTCATCGATGAACCCAGGGAGCCAGGGGAGTCGTGGCTCTGAGGGGAGTCGTGGCTCTGAGGTGGGTCCTAGACCCAGTAACACTGATGCTGACCTTGGACCTGGTCCCTAAGACTCTCTGCTCATGGACTCCTTCCTATGAAGACAGTGATGTGAAATGGAGGAGTGGGTGAACTACAGCTCCTGATGGCAGGGCGGTGGCTGTGGTCGCCTATGAAGTCCTCCACTCCAACATGCCATCACCATCCTCAGTTTCTACCCACCTATCACCATCCTCCGCTCCTACACCCCATCACCACCCTCTGCCCCAACACCCCTATCACCACCCTCCCCTCCTACACCCCTATCACCACCCTCCGCTCCTACACCCCTATCACCATCCTCCTCTCCTACACCCCTATCATCACCACCTCTTGGCCCCAACACCCCTATCACCACCCTCCCCTCCTACACCCTATCACCACCCTCCGCTCCTACACCCCTATCACCACCCTCCGCTTCTACACCCCTATCACCATCCTCCCCTCCTACACCCTAACACCACCCTCCCCTCCTACACCCCTATCACCATCCTCCCCTCCTACACCCCTATCACCACCCTCCCCTCCTACACCCCTATCACCACCCTCCCCTCCTACACCCCTATCACCACCCTCCCCTCCTACACCCCATCACCATCCTCCTCTCCTACACCCCTATCACCACCCTCCCTTCCTACACCCCATCACCATCCTCCGCCCCAACACCCCTATCACCACCCTCTGCTCCTACACCCCTATCACCACCCTCTGCTCCTACACCCCTATCACCACCCTCCCCTCCTACACCCTATCACCACCCTCCCCTCCTACATCCTATCACCACCCTCAGCTCCTACACCCCTATCACCACCCTCCCCTCCTACACCCCTATCACCACCCTCTGCCCCAACACCCCTATCACCACCCTCCCCTCCTACACCCTATCACCACCCTCCCCTCCTACACCCCTATCACCACCCTCCCCTCCTACACCCCTATCACCACCTTCCCCTCCTACACCCCTATCACCACCCTCCCTTCCTACACCCCATCACCATCCTCCTCTCCCACACCCCTATCACCATCCTCCGCTCCTACACCCCTATCACCATCCTCCACTCCTACACCCCTATCACCATCCTCCTCTCCTACACCCCTATCACCACCCTCAGCCCCAACATCCCTATCACCACCCTCTCCTCCTACACCCCATCACCATCCTCCACTCCGACCCGCCGGTCACCGGTAAGGAGTGATGCCCATCACACCAGGGGCCAGAAGAGCGTGGAGCAGGGGCAACATGCCTGCTCTCCTGGAGCTTAGAGCTTGTCAGAAATGGGGCACTACCCAGTGGACAGGAAGCCGGCACCGGCACAGGGCGGCTGGCACCAGAGCGTCCACAATAGACAGACGCTGGGGGTTGGAGCTCCAACAAGAGTTTGGGGAGAGAGAAGAGGGGAGACTGAGGGCCCTCACAGAATAGCCCCCTTGCCCGAGGAGGGTCTGACTGTGGGGATGGTGGGCCGCACCTCCGCATGGGGCTCCGAGTGGGGCTAAGGCCAGTCTCTGGCGGGGACCACACTCCCACTCCGCCTCTCCCTGCTCGGCGCTCACTCCTCGCCCCGTGGGCAGCCCCAATGAGTCACTTGAACAAGAAACTCATCTTGCCTCTATTTTTAGAGAACCACAGTCAAAGCATCAGGTTCTTCCATCACCAAGCCATCGCAAGCCCGTGCCAAGGACTAGCTGTGCCCAGAGAGGTGACGGAGCCGCAGCCGGGCACCGGGACCTGCCGCCAGGCCAGGGCCTGTGCGTGACTCCAGGCGAGTCTCAGTTTCCCCTCCTGTGTGAGCACCAGCTCTCCCTCCAGACCACAGCACGCGGACGGCCACCGGGGGGCAGCAACGCTGGTGGCTACCTTTAACGCCATCCGAACGCTGAGCATGAAAATACCCGGCCCCTCACTTTGCTGCTTTTTAACTGATTTTAGAGAGCTCGGAAGGGAGAGGGAGAGAGAGAACCACTCATGTGAGAGGGAAGCATCAATTAGGTTCCTGCTCCAAAAACCCCAGCCAGGTACCCACCTGCAAGCTGGGCGTGTGCCCTGACCAGGAACTGAACCAGGCACTTTCGGTGCATGCGGTGACGCCCAACCCACCGAGCCACACTAGCAGGCTCTGCCCTTCACTTTAAAGGAACCCCAACTTTCCTCCCTCCTCCCCGTTTCACTTGTGTTCCCTCAAAAGATATATTCAAGTCCTAACCGCAGCACCTGTCAATATTACCTTATTTGGAAGTTGGGTCCTGGCAGATGTAACCAAGTTAAGATGGGGTCGTACTAGGAAGGGTGGGTCCCTAATGCAATGGCTGGTGTCCTCAGAGGAGGCAGTGTTAAGCAGAGACACGCAGGAAGGAAATGCCAAGAGATGATGCAGGCTGCGACTGGGAAACCCAGAGGCTGATGGCAGCCACTGGCACGTAGGGAGGGGCACCTCCGAAGAACCAGCCGCCCCCACTGACCCTTGGATTCAGACTTCCAGCCTCCAGAACACTGAGAGAACAGGTGTCTGTCCCATTCGGCCAGTGTTTCCCAAAGTGTGGCTCGCGTACCCCCAGGGGTACGGGAAGAGTTTGGTGGGGGTGCGCGTTGCACCGGAGTTTGGTGGGGATATGCACTGCACCATGTTAGCTGCGCCTAATTCTACGTTCTCATGAGTACGAGGGGTACTCAGCGTTACGAAAATTATAGAAGGGGTACACATATCAAAAGTTTGGGAAACACTGCATTAGGCCATCGGTTTGTGGTATTTTGTAGGGTCAGCTGCAGGAAATGAGTATTCATAGGCAGATTCTAGGATTGCCAGAGCAATATGGAATGAAGGGGAAGACTTTGGCCTTGACTTTCAAGGATCACTGCACTGCATTAGTTGGATCAAAGACTCGCCAAGGAATGCCCATGGAGCTAACCACAGAAGGAAGAGCCGGGGGTGTGCAGGGCGCTGGGATGGACAGTGACTGGGCACAGCGCACTCAGGGGCCAGCAGGCCCACGGGACCACGTGAGCACCGCTCAGCCTGCCGCCGGGCGGTGGAACCCTGCTGCTGCTTACCCAGCAGAGATCCTGGAAAAGGAACGCTGCTCCCTGTGGCTGCCTTCACAACGACTGACACATTAAACACTCGGAGGTTAGCTGTTGTGTTATTCTCACTCTGCTCAGCAATGGAGTGAGGTCCTGGAAGCATAACCTTTCTGAGCCTCAGGGCTCCATAATGAGCATAACAGGCATGCACAGACCGCTATGAGTAATGAAAGAGATAACATAAAGGACATGCAACACAGAGCCAGCTGAAGGGGCACAGCGTGCAGATCTGATACACCTGTAGACTGCAATACGGCTGCTGCCCTCACGTCACGCAACTATCACTTCTTTCCTGTCATGGGTACAAGGGCTGGACCTTAGGCCATCGTGACGACCCGATTCTTAAGCTCCAGCCATGCAGACTGCCCTAACAGAGGCAAGGTCCCTGTACCATTCTGAGCCTTGTAGTTCCTAGAATAGGACAGTAGATGGCAGCAGGGCCTCACTTTTTGCCCCTTCACCCACGTGCTTAGTCCTGGGAAAACCAGCTACTTGTTACTAGCACTGCAGGCTCCGCCCAGAATCCCCAAGTGACCCGGTGGGGTGAAGTCTGCCCCTTGCCTTCTTTTTTAAGGAGAAAGCAATTCAGTGGGTGCCCACCGGAGGTCACAATCCCCAGCTTAAAACCAGGACCAGCACATCAGAGCTACTGGATCATTCTGGGCCTCACAGACCAGCTTTTGCAGAATCAGTCCCTTTCGTGGTCAGTTTCCTAAGTAACCAAGTGATCAGACCCTAATCACGCTGGCTAGCTCTAATGTCCCACCCAAGGCCAGTCAGAGCTGGTTTCGCCTCGGCTTGTGGCTGCGCGCGTCCAGCGGGCCTCCACTTCGCCCGAGCATCCTGGGGGGCCAGAGGTTCGGGGGGGCCCGTTACCCGAGTGACGGACACCTCGCTCTCTCGCCCCCAGTCCCACCGCACCGCCCCGGCAGCTGAGTGGCCCTCTTCCCATAGAGCATACTTCAGAAGAGCCAAAGGCGTGGGGATGGTACGGGGACCAGCGTAGCCGCGGCCGGGCGCCAGAGAGAAGTATTTCCAACACGGGAAGTCCCAGGACCCACCTCACCGCCCCAAGGAGAGACACCCTCCCGGGTCTCTCATCAAGCCCAGCACCCGTCTCTGCCGTCCTGATAAAGGAGCACGGGTGCCCACTCCACAGACACTGAGGGAGTGGGAACGGGGCTGGGGGGGCGGGAATCCTGAGCTCCAGCCCCCAGTGCCCAGGCATTTCCGGGTACGGGAGCAGGAGCAGGTGGCGGGGCCCTGCCCATCGATGATGTAAACAGCCCCCCCTCCCACCTCCCATCCCCTGCCACCCCCACCCCTGCCACCCCCACCCCTCACCCTCCACCCCCACCCCTGCCACCCCCACCCCCCACCCTCCACCCCCACCCTCCACCCCCACCTCTGCCACCCCCACCCCTGCCACCCCCACCCCTCACCCTCCACCCCCACCCCTGCCACCTACCGAAGACGGTGAGGACGGGCCCCTCGATGTGCGCCCGGATGTAGATGCGGCCGCGGCGCTCCGTGTGGTCCGTGCCGCACAGGCTGGGGACGTTCATCACACAGCGCTTGTGCACGTTCATCATGCAGGCTGGGGGCGGCGGGCTCGGGTTGGCGGGGCCGGGGGCAGGCCTGTGCCCCCCAGGCCCGGGGCTCCTTCCCGCCTCCCTTCCAGGGGCTGAGACCCCCCAGCCTGGCCGCAGCAAGCCCGCCCCCTGCTGGGTCACATCAGGCTTCTCCAACCCACCCACCCCCACCCTGAGGGCCAGAGGAGGTGGAGCTTGTCCAGCCTCCCGGAGGCTAAGGGTGCACCCCCCCGCCCCCCACGGTCCTGAAGCCAGAGTCCCTGCCTTCCTACCAGGTGGCAGTAACAAGTGAGGGGAGATGTGTGTGGGGGGCCTTGGCGAAGCCGACACCCCAGCACCCCCAACTCCAACACAGTGGGGGTGGGGGGACAGGGGCCCTAACGCCCCAGCAGCCCTCACTCCATCACAGCGGGGGTCGGGGGGGACCCTAACACCGCAGAAGCCCCACTCCAGCACAGCAGCGGGGCCAAGAGGCCAAGGCTTCCCTCTGGAGCAGATGAGCAGCCTGGTGAGCGTGCCTGGCAGGTGGTGCGGCCAGCCAGTGGGGCCCCGTGGGAGCCAGCGTACTTACTGTCACACTTCATCCCCTGGTGGATGAGCCCGTACAGCAGCGACCCACAGTGGTCACAGAACGTGGGGCTGGAGTAGGTGTGGATCTTGAACTTGTGCTTGCTCCGGGGGTCCTAAGGCCAAGAGAAGACAAGAGGCCCGCGTCAGCCGAGGTGGCCCTCTGAGAGTCCCTGAGATCCGCTGAGGGCCGAGCCCCCTCCTCACACCTGTCAGGACCTTCGCTGGAGTCTGGGGACCAGGGGCCGAAGGGGCCAGTGAGGGAGGAGCGGGCTCCCTGGTCGGTGGCAGCACCCGCTGTGCCTGCGCCCGGGGCCTCCGTCAGAGAGTCCAGCCTGCAGGCCTGCCTGCAGCAAGGGTCCAGGCAGCAGGCACAGTGCCCACACCCGGGTAGACCTTGCACTCATTCCTGTTCCCCTCCACCGCCTCTGGAGCAGGGACTCCCAACAGGGGCACCCACAGGGCAGTTCGACCCTTAAGGGGGCAATTCGAGAATGAGCTATTAACAGCGCACATTTCAAATTTTGTATGGCTCCAGGGGCCTCGTACACACTCTATAACATATTACAGGTCTGATGCATGAAATGCGTGCAAGGGGCTCGGCCCTCGCAGTCCCGGCTTCGTCCAGAAGGTTGTCCGGCTGTCCGGGCTCATTAGCATATTACACTTATATTATTCTAGATATGCTGAAAATTTATGCATTTCAGTTCTCCATTTTATATGTTTTGAAAGATTATTTGCTATTTTTCATATCACTTCATATTATTTTTTTTAAAACAATTTCTTAGTGATTTCTTCCTCAGTCCATCCACTGTTCTTTTTTATTTTTCTCTTTTGTGGGTGCCACGTTCTTTGGAAGCTTGTTTAGACCAAGTTCATGGCCGTTTAGGCTTCCTCCACATGAACAGGAGCTCGCTTTTTTAATAAGAATTCTATGTCATGAGGGGAGGGTTTGCAGGGGGGAGGAGGGTGTCAGGATGTTGCAAATGCTTAGGGGGGCCTGGCCAAAAGAAGGCTGGGAACTGGTCTAGAATGACCGCAAACCCATGTCTGCTGGGACCTCACCTCCTGCAGAACAGGGTTCAAGGTCACACAGTCCGCAGGCCGTGGCGGGGACTGCTGGTTCCCACCAACACCCACTCTTCCCTTCGTAACAGAACCTGCAGTCAGAGCAGAGCTCAGGCGCCTGGAGAGACCACTCCCCAGCCTCCCTTGCAGCTGTGGCCGGTGTGACCGAGCTCTGGCCAACGTCACGTGTGTGCTGCGGGGCCCTCTCCCTCAGGAGAATGTATGCACACCGGCCCTGTGGGCCCTCCCCTCCACAGCAGCCGGAGGACGGTGAGGACTGGAGTGACCACTCTCACTCAAAGCCATCCTCGCTAGCCATGGGCTTCGTCCCTTCGGACAGACCCTGCGAAAAACCTCCTCTCTCCTCAGTCACTACGTCCAGGGGCCACTCTCACAGCCCTTCCTCATTCCCTCGCTGCAGTGCAAGCTCCCGAGGGCTGCTGTTGTGTTTGGCACAAAGGAGGAGCTCGGTAAATATTCAGAGAGCAGAGCTCACAGGGAGTGAGCTTCGGCTCATGCCTGGAGCGGTTCTCAGGGACAGCCAGCCATGAACTTGCTTAATCGTCCAGCACCTAACCCCTCCCCCTTACGGAGGAGGAACCGGGGAGGGGGGTGCCGGCCGCCAGGGACCAGTTGCAGAGCCGTGGTGGCAGCTCGGGCTGAGACCACCACTGACCACTGAGCGCCCTGCCCGTGCCCGCGCTGCTTAAGGGAATGACGAGGCAGAGCTGTGCCGACACGGGAGGCAGCCCGGAGGAAGGGGCCAGTCTGGCAGGGAGCCGGGAAATTCGCCCACGGTCCACGCGGAGGCTGTCGGTGGCTCCTCCGCCCTCCGTTCCCCTGCCTCAGCTTTGCAAGCGCCAACTCCACCCTCCCCACAGTCCCTCAGACACCCACAGGCCGAGCAGGCCTGCCCCTCGCCTCTCCCCTCTCCCGCCGGAGAGCTGGGAATACAGCCACACGGTCCCCAGGACCCGCGGTCCCAGGAGGCCCTGCGGGACCCCGGGCCAGTCCTGCCGGCGCCCCCTCCGAGGCGGGCACGTCTGCCCTGGGACAGGCCCCGCGCCCTGGACACAGGCCACTGGCAGGGAGCTGGGTTTGCTCCGAAGGCTCCGTGGCTGGTGGCGGGGACGCAGGCCCGGAGACAGGCAGCTGAGGTGGGCTCCGAGGAAGAGAGAGGAGCAGGACAACGGTCACATGACCTCCGCTGGCCCTGGTTCAGTCCCCTGGGGACCTGCCCTACAATTCTACCTGAAGCCCCTGTGGCCTCTAAACGTCCTCCTTCCTGCGTACGCGATCCAGGTGGGCAGGTGGGCAGACGCTGCCTGCAACAGGGCGGGGGCTGGGACTTACGGCCTGCGGTTCAGGCACTGCCCACGGGCCAGGCAGGAGGGAACAGGCTGGCTGTGCTGGGAGCTCACTCTGTCACTGCCGGTCACAGCGAGGTGAGGGGCCAGCAGGGCAGAGGGTGGGGGGGTAGGAGGGGAGGCCCGATGGGCCCAGGGGCTACTAACCAATTGGTGTAAGAGCATGTCAGCGCTTTCACAGCTGGCGCCTATGCCAGTGGGCCGGTTAAACGCCAGCTCTGTCTTTAACCAAAACACCTCCCCTCTCCCAGCTCCGAGGGGCCTGCTGACTGCCCTGGGGTCCAGGGAGCCTGAGGCAGAAGCTCCCTCTGTCCTGTTTTGATTCCATTCAAAGATACAGCACCCACCTCCACCGCCTCCCTCCCGCTCCTCCCTCCCCCATCTGGTTCTACACTCAGATCTGCGCCCCCTGCGTGCCCCCCGCCCCCACAGCCACGAACGGGGGCGGGGGGCCCTCTGCATCCCGCCCCCACCCCCAGCCTGGGCCTCCTTCCCACTCAGGGCCACGAGCTGGAGCCCAGGCTTCCGGACCGAGCCTGAAAACAGGCTGCATGTGGCCCAGATGGTGCTTCTTAAAAACTTGACTTGGTTGATTTGAAAATATTTAAAAATCGTGAAATGTCAGCTCAAAAAGTAAATTTCTGGCTCCTTTTAAAAAAAATCAAGCCGTGGCAACACTGTGACACACGGCTGCGGGCTGAGCAGTGACGTCCCCTTCGGGGAAGCGATTCGCAACCCAGTTCTCCACAGTCCCCACCTCTCCCTATTGCCTCACACCACGCCGGCCTCACTTCCCTCCCGCCCGGCCCCTCTGCCCGACGCCCGTCCGCTCTCCCCACAGCGCACTGGCCAGAGCCGGCCACAGGGAGCACACGTCCTCCCTGGGCTCAGGCCAGAGGCTCTCAAAAACAGGGCCGGAGCCACGGCCTCCCCTTCACAGCATCACCCCCTGATCTCCAGGCCTGGGCATCTCCAGCCCGGAAGCAGGGCCACAGACCCCGAAGTGACCCCGGCCCCGCTGTGTCCCGTGGCTCAGGCCCGGGTGAGCGAGGATTTCCATTCCCTTCCGCTCTGCTCCGGAGTCAGGAGCCTGCTGGGTGACAACAAGGTGGTGATCACCTGCTGTGCCTTCTGCCGCGCCCAGCCCGGGCCCCGGTCATGTCGCAGATCCTCACTGATGGGAGGCAGTCCAGTGCTGGACTTCCGGGCGGCAGCTGGGCTCAGGGAAGGGAACGGTCCGAAGTCTCCCGAAGACGGTGGGGAGACAGGCGTGGAAGCCAGTGTGTGGGCTCCGGAGAACACCTGGCTGCCCCGGCTCCCCAGCCTCCCCAGAGGGTCCCGAGGAGGACAGATGCAGCACCAGCCAGTGACAGCCACCGGGGTGCCCTCCCCCCACCCGCAGCCAGAGTCTTCATGGTGAGCACCCAAGCCCCCACTGAGCATCTCAGGACACAGCCTGAGTGCAGACACAGCAGCTCAGGAGAAAGCAGCACAGGCCAGAAACAAGCCAAGAAACCTTGACACAGCTGCGCCCAAACCTGACAGTGTCCCTCTGTGCGGGGCCGGGGGTCTGCTCGGAGCACTCCTCCCGGTCGGCCTGCCCACGGGGGCTGCCCTGGCTGAGCTGGGGCAGAGCCGCAGGAAGAGGCAGCCAACGGAAGCACCAGGGCGGGAAGCCCGGCAGCGTCCTCGGGGTTCACTCAGGCTGTGCCACCCCCTCTGCTCAGCGCAGGAGCCCCTGCAGGCCCTCCCAGGCCCCCAGGAGGTGGAGGGGAGACCCAGGAAATCATCCCCAGACAGGGGGGAGGCTGCAGCACAGGATCTGGAGTTGCTGTGTGGCCTCAGGCAAGGGACACCCTCTGAGTCTCGGGTTCCGAGCCAGCAGAGTGGGATGGGAGCCAGGCCACCTCCGAGATGTCCGAGGTGGCGGAGATGGCCTGCTGAGCGTGAGAGCCGCGGTCTGTGGCCCGGCTGTGTACCTGTCCTGTGGTTTAGGCAGCACTGCGTTTTAACCCAACAGGCCATTTTTACTTGAATCAAACGATTTTAAAATAAAACTCTGCGAGACTGTAAACTCGGGAATTCAATGTGCAGTTATGTTTCCCCACTGCACCTGGAGACGGACGCGGCCGCCTCGGGTGGCAGGCAGTGTCAGCCAGGCTCCCTGCACGGCGGGGCGGGGGGGAGAGCCGCTCCTGCTGGGCTGGGCGGGCCGCCTCCCTCCCAGGGACCCATCTCCCGCCACTCACACCATGGCTCTCCCGCACCCTCCCCCCTGCCCGGAGTTCACGCTGGAGGCCCCCCCGCAGAGGAGTGGGCCCGTGCACTGCTGTTCCTTGGCAGAGAAGGTAAATGGGCCCACGTCCCCAGCCATCTGGGGGGGAGGGGGATGGCAAACACAGCGCGGCCCACAGAGAGACCGAGGTGCACACGGAGAACACGGAAGCACTGCGTGGGGTGGCATCGTCATGGGTGTATTTGTAAGTGAAACTGAAAAAGGAAAAGGAACCCAGGTGCAGGAATGTGCAGGCCTCATGGTACCGCTTTTCGTGAGAAAGTGAGAAGGGACGCAGAGGGCACGGCTGGCAGTCCCATCCCCGCACAGAGGACACGGCACCCCCAGCCCCGCACAGAGGACACGGCACCCCCATCCCCGCACAGAGGACACGGCACCCCCATCC